TAGTGGTCCTTGTGCTGAGCGAGGAAGCGGATGAGGGGAGGAAATTCGGTTAGGGTTGTGGACATTGAGCAGGGGTCAGGTACATGGAGTGATAATCACTGTCATTTGCACGGAGCGAACGACTGTCGCTAGGGCTTGGGGGTGATGTGCGATCACCATCTGCCGTCGGGCTCGGCGACGGAATTAAAAATGCTTATGTTTGCGTCTTCAGACAACAAAGCACTGGATGCGCTAACCGTGTAGCCCCTACTTCGGCTTTTGCAAGCTACTGTTGGCGTCAACCCGAGAAAAATTTAGCTGGTGTGCGGTAGACAATCTGAAAGGCTTCACTAGTATCGACTCGATTATTCGTATCGACAAGGCGTGCAAGAATATAACTCGACATCGATCTAGTTTCCCCTTTACTTAACCAGGCCGGTATGTGCTCACGTACCCTCTTTTTCCCGGCGCCTCGTTGTTCGACCGATGTATCCTGCCCCACAGGAACAAGTGAAAGATTAAATGCACATGGAGGTGGCCTTCAACGGAAGTCGGTCTTTACCTCCCAACCGTAGGAGGGTAGATTTCGTGAGGAACACGCGTAAGTTCGCCGCGGGTAAAGCGCTTGTGATCGCAGTCTTTAGGCGTCGTCTTACAAACTCGCTTGTTGCATCGTCTAAGAAAGGCATTCTTTCTTTTCTGTGGCAGGCTTTTGGCGCGTTCGCCAATATGCAAGATCCTACTATCTTGTCTTTTTCTTATTTTTCTTCTTCTTAGACGTAGAGAAAATTGACTATTTTGAGTTTGAGTCTTCTTTCAAAGCAATATGAACAAACTGATAAGTAAACTACAAAAGAAACTAAGGAATTGCGTGCATGTACATCTTACAAACTTAAATATAACTGACGAAGTCTAGGATGTTAAACTTAGTATTTTTCCAGTCAGAATCCACGGAACTGGTTGTTAGGGGGTTTCCGCAAGCTTGAAAGTCCAAGGTCACTGTTTCATGTCAGCCAGGATGATTTGACTCCACCAAAGTCCATTATGTCACTCAAACTAAGTATCAAGTCTTAGATCTCGAAGAGTACTGAATCTATGTAGTGAATCTAGGTTACTGATCACAACGTACATCTCAGTCGTACGGGTAACTGTGTTTGGTAGATGTTCCTCTTTCCGAGTTTTTGACATCGCAAATTACTATATGTGATTCAAAGGACAGCGCATACATGTTGGATCACTCAGACCCTCTATGTAAAATCGCCTGCCCGATTGTCAAATAATCAAAGATCTACTTATTAAAACTAAATAAGACGTTGTGGTAACTTTTCTTGGCACTAGGGGCATTCGGTTGTTAGATAGGTTAATTCAACTAAACCTTGCTCCAACTTCAAAGTACAGAGATATTCAGTAAGTTTGACTGTACAGACAGGTACGCACTTTTTCCATTGGATTATCAAGGCAAAGGCCTGATGGGACCAATAAAAGACAATAGCAGCTTGAATAGGAGGTGTACCTTTCGCCTCTTCGAACGAATAAGCTTGAAATAATGAACAGAATTGTTTTGGTATAGGTGGTGTATGGATTGTGCATTTTATGCAAACCAAAGCATTCTCTCTTTCACCGCCGCTGAAGATTTTATCAGTAATCGATAGTAGTCTACGAACTCGTGTCCTAAAATGTCCTAATTCCCGGTTTTTGAAGCCTCGTTTAACAAGGACGTGTTATTTAGCATTCACAGTCTTTAGCACGTCGTAAGTTTGCCAGCGAATTTGTGTTAACTGTTGATTGGGCTTTAAGTAGAAACTATCCTTGTACGTTTTAGCTATTTTGGGTGTATCACTGTCCACAGGTCGCGCTTGCACGATAATTTTTTATCCTTTTCTTTTACCAAGATTGTTTGAAAACATACGCGAAACCGCATTTTTTTCTCCCCAGTAAGCGTTACTCTAATTATAATAGTAGGTGTTTTTTTTAAGAAAGTGTTTACTTTTGTGCAATATTATTCATTGTAGCACGGGGTTGTTCAATGATTTGGACTGCAATGGGGAATATCTGAATCACGCAGTCGTGCTGGTTGGTTACGGCGTCGATCAGAATGGAAGAAAGTACTGGATAGCTCAAAATTCTTGGTCAAACAAATGGGGCGAGGACGGCTTCTTTCGGATTCTATTCGGTGAAAACCACTGTGGTGTCGCCGTAACACCACTTATTCCAGTTCTCTAAACAACTTTTCTTTCTCCCCCGTGCAACATTAAAATTTCTTTATTCTTATAACTGCCTCCAAGGCATGCCCTAGCGATAATACTGACAATTTAATGTGGCGATCTAACTTTGCGTCTTAAAATTATCCGAATATCGTTTGTTTTTTTTTGTTTTCTAGGGGCAAACGTGACCACAAAAGACAGGAATTCTTTACTGGAGCACAGTTTTAAGTAGGACAGGTCACTGTGCGCTACATTTTAGGTGGGTAAAAGATAGAGTGTGAGGCAAATGTTGATGTCAGGATGATGAGCTTTAGAATCGAGAGGGCTGGAAGGTAAGTGAAGTCACCGGAATACGCTGGAATTTGACGCAACCTAGGTTACTGTACCACTATACAACCGAGTTCTGTCTTTAAATGTACAAAAATAGCATTTTGAGCGGTTGCTTGTGACGTGCGTTTTTATTCTGCTAAATGCTTAACCTTGACGTTTC